TCCTCACCGCGGCTGGGTGGTCTCTCAGCTGCTGCCCTGATATTAGTGGGGCTCCTTGGCTGCGCGTGGCCTGCGGGGCGGGATGGCCTGCGTGGGTGTGGGGCGAGGAACCTGGGGCCGCGTGTTGCGATCGGAGTTCGGATCGCTGAGACACGCGGGCCTGGGCGTCCGATCGCTGTCCCGGTCTGTAACCTCAGCGTTGCTGAATGCTCCAGAAGGCAGGTCCTCGTTTGCAGGCGTATTTTAAGCAGGCAAGCGTTGCTTCTCATCACTTGCTCATTTCTTAGCCTAACGACTTTGCTGTTTTTCCCTTACAGCCATCCAGACTGAGGAAGACGCGGAAACTCCGGGGCCACGTTAGCCACGGTCATGGCCGCATCGGTAAGTGTGGGCCTCTGGTGATAGGCCTTTGGGCTGTGTTGGAAGATAGCTGTGTGAGTCTGGGAGTTTTGTTGCCAGATTTAAGTTTCCCAATTTGAAGATCCTCGAGTGCAGTTTAAGATAAACTTAACGTTGATAGTGGGGTGGAAGTTAAACATGGCGCTGTGATGTGGAACGTCGAAAAACTTACTGAGACTTGAAGTATAGTCATGGTTAAAAATGAAGTCAACTGGGAAGAGTAAACAAGGGCGCTTGAGCACCTAGAGAAGGTTGATAGCCATATAGCTTTGTATGCCTGCAGGTAAGCACCGCAAACACCCAGGAGGCCGAGGGAATGCTGGAGGCATGCATCACCACAGGATCAACTTCGACAAATAGTGAGTGTTCTGGAAGAGCTCTGGAAACTGTTGTTTTTGGCTATTGCTAGCTTTAGCAAGGGAACACTTAGTGTGGACTGAGGGAGCCTGTCCGAGGCTAGAGTCACGCTCAGGTATTGCTTGTTGCCTTAGTGTGCTAGAGTCCTCGAAGAGTAACTGCTGACCTTATTCACTGGCTGTGAACTTTTTGGCACAGTCAGTCACCAGGTTAGAAACACGGGCCAGATTTACCCATTAGAGGTTAGGTTGGCTTCTATGCCCATTAGCGGGTGACTTTTTATTATTTCTTTAGGAAACCTCAGGGTTTAGACAGGGTACTAAGTGAGAGACCTGACCTCTTTAGGAACTTAGATTTAGTTCAAAAATTTTATTTATCAGGTGCTTCCTGTGTCAGTGTTCACAACGGTGAAAATTTACACTGCACTAGAATGAGAATAACTACAAAGATAAGCTTGCTTGAAGAGGCTCTGAAGATGGTTGCCCTTCCTTTCCAGTCATCCAGGTTACTTTGGGAAAGTTGGTATGAGGCATTACCACTTAAAGAGGAATCAGAGCTTCTGCCCAACGGTCAACCTGGATAAATTGTGGACACTGGTCAGTGAGCAGACACGGCTCAATGCTGCAAAAAACAAGACTGGGGCTGCTCCCATCATTGATGTTGTGCGATCGGTGAGTGAGTTGACTTGGCTGTTATCCTTGATGGAACTGTCTCACATCTGTGAATCTACATTTTAGTAGAATTGTTACTGGAGGTTGATTGAAATGGCCCCAAATAGAACTCTTTCCCCTCCCTTTGGTCCCTAATGTGGAGTCAGATTTCAGAGAACACATCTACCAAATGCTTTATTACAGGTTTTTTTTTTTTTTTTTTTTTTTTTTTTTTTTTAGCCAAGATGAGCTGTGTGGTTCAGAATGGTCTTAAGGCACTGCTTGGCCATTGTAGTTTAATGTAATTTTTGTGGCTTTATATTGTCAACAAAGAGCTCTGTACTGCCTAAGTGAAGAGACCCAAACCATAGGGGGCTTTCTGTTGGCTTAAATTGCCATTCCCAGCCTATTTGGTCTATATTTAGAGGAGGTAGTAGCTGATCAGGAGGTACATTATTAGCCGAGACTAGAGTCACATCCTGACATGGTACTTGTCCTGGTGTGCTAGAGTTCTCGAAGAGAATCTGCTGGTCTTGATTCACTGGTAGGGGCCTTTGGTGTCCCTGTTAGTGCCCAGATCAGAAACATGTCCTACCTGGGGCCATGCATGCTTTGCTCGAAACACTGTGGAGATGGCTGTTGGTGCTTCTCTATGAGGTGTTATGATCTACATTTGAGTTCCAGGATAGCCAAGGTTACATAGGCTGTTTGAAGCCTTAGGGGACTTCAGTACCTGTTGGTAGTATATTATAAAATTTTTTCTCTTCTAGGGCTACTACAAAGTTCTGGGGAAGGGCAAGCTCCCTAAGCAGCCTGTCATCGTGAAGGCCAAATTCTTCAGCAGAAGAGCTGAAGAGAAGATTAAGGGTGTGGGAGGTGCCTGCGTCCTGGTGGCATAAAGCCGGCCAGGGAGGTTAATTAAATGCTAACATTTTCCACGAGGTCTGAGCGGTTTCTTTTTTCAGTGATAGTCTGGAAATGGATGTTGACCAACGTTATACAACTGTAAATTCATAGGTCCCTGTGTATGCTGTATGGGTCTTTATCTTAAAAGAATTGGTGAATGCTACTGCTTTTAGCCCAAAATTCATCAGTAAAAATCCTTACTGAGCATGGTGGGCATATGCTTTCTTTAATCCCAGCCCTCTGGAAGTAGAGGTGGGTGGGTTTCTTGTGTTGCATAGTTTCAGAACAGATGCCCTCAAAAAAATTAGCTTACTACAATAGGTGGCTTAGGGACTGGGCTACTACTGAACATGTTGGCATGGAAAATACTGGGAAGAGGCCATTAGGCTCCAGTCTCAATTTCTTGATGGCATCCAGGTGTATGGTTTCTAGGGTGCACACCTATCTGGAAACATCCACTTTTGGATGTTAGTATCATCTTATACCTGAAAATTCAGTCAAAATGCAGGATCAGCAGCAAAACTTTAAAAACTTATACATATATATTTTGCTTAAATGTGGAAGGTAACAACAGTTCAAGCACAGCATACACTAAGCATGGAGAATGGTTTTAATTTTTCTGGAACAATGGTAACCAGACAAATGTCACATTCACCGAGGAACAGGTACTTTGCACAGGCTGAGCTTTTCAGCTTGTTTGCATGCCTCTGAGAATGGTGGGGAATTGGCATGTTGTCCGTATTTTCTGTGGGGTGTTTGTAGAGGCTACAGTTCTTGTCAGGCCTTACCTTAGAGGTTTGAGTTGAAAAGAGTTTATAGCTTCATTCTATAAATTTCATTCAAATTCAACTGTAGATAATACAGTTTACAGTAAAGTTTATAAAAGGCTGTCGGAACTGTGTTTCCCTATGTGTACTGATTTGAGAACTTGTAGACTGGTACGTAAGTCATCCAGAGTACCTTAGGAGTTAAAAAACTTGATTGTATATGTAAATCCAAAAATTTACCCTTGAGTTTTAGGGAGTAAAGGAGATTGTATGCTTGGTACACAATCCACTTGAGTACCCAAGTACATATTGAGAGGCAATATAAGTTGAGAGGGGGACCTTAACAGGGAGAAGGCTTCAATAGTCAACACAGGTTCACAGGAAAATCAAGATGTTTTGGAGCATAAGCTGCTATGTCTGAATAGAAATGTATGTCATGCCTAGGAAAAATATGGGTCCAGGTGTGTGTGTGGTGGAGAAGTCTGGACAACTGGAGTAGGATCTGTATTTAACGTGGCATGTAGCCATCATGAAGTGTACAGTTTTTTTAAATAGAACACTTATGGTGAAGCATTTGTGTAGGATATGTTGGCTCTGAGTTTCATGTCATTAGATATTAAAGTTGGATCTAATAGGATTGAGAATTCTTGAATTGGGGAGTCCAGCTCTGTGAAGGCAGAATCTGGAGAGCCTAAAAACATTCTGCTGCCACATGCCAGGCTTGTTGCATGGCCCATCTACCCAAGGAAGCCATCAAGTGCCAGTATGGGTTTTCTGAACTGAGAGCTAAAGCTCTAGGTTATGTCCATGGGTGTTTTGCTCACGGGTATGTCTTGAGCTAGAGTTACATACAGATCCTTTTGATCACTGTAGGTGCTGGGAATTGAACCTGAATCCTGTGAAAAACAGCCAGGTTCTTACCTGGCTCCCTCTCCAGCCCCAAAATGCACCATATTTTCAGAGCCTCCAGTACACAGTCTGATTATATATGTTTGAAGGTTCTCTGGGCAAATGGGAGTGGGGGACAGGCAGATAGCAAAGCTGTCTTTGGAGAACTGGTGGTTTTTTTGTCAGGAAGCCTAGGCTGAACTAACTGCTGAGGGCTGGAGGCAATCATACACAGCTTTGAATTTTCTGGTTATACTCAACCTCATTTGAAAACCCACACTTGTGGCCACAATCCTTCCCCTTTTATTCTTGACATAAAGCCAACTGTGCAGGAGGCTTCCTCAACATGTAATTTTGCCTTACTAGAAGACAAGCCCTTCACATGTTTTCTAAGGTAAGTAGCAGGCTATAACCATGGACAGGCTGGGGCCTGCACAGGTGTCAGGATGGAAAGAAACCCAGGATGGGATAGTCTCATTTAAGTAGGCTAGGGTGCAAAGACAGAATGTTACAGTTCACAGCCTGTCAGACCCAAACCCAGTGTAACAAGTCTTTTATCAGGATTTTTCAAGGTCTGTCCTACAAAGGCCTTAGTGTGTAGGAAACTCAAGCCATCTTGTTCCCTGAATTTTCCTTCCTCTTCGCTAAAATGTAGTTGAGCTTTCTGGGTGCACACTTAAGGATCTAGTGGAAGAAACTTCAGAGTGACATGGAGGAGTCATTGGCAGTAGATGAAAGTTGAATATAAGCCCAGTGTGTTAGTACTTGGGCTGGAGTCCACTGATGTCAGGCTACTGAAAAATGTCATCTAATATCCAGGGGCAAAGAGCATCCTTTCATCACTGGAAACACCTGAATGAGCTTCCAGAGAAGGAAGGTCTGTGACAGGCGTCTTCTACCTTGAGAACTCAAGTTTAGGGATGGCCAGCAACACACATGAAATTAACCCCTTTACCAAGGGCCCAGCTCCCTGTTTGATGGGGTTTCATCCAGATTCACCTGTTTTAGAACTGTAGATAAACACATGAAACTCTTGACCCAGATGAATGTACAGTTTATTGAGAACATCTGTGGATGGTGGAAGAAATGCCCTGTACCGCATCATGGCCACCACTGACTGGGAGCTGCACTTCCCATGACTCACTGACCATGTCAGAGGGTGGAACAAGAGAGGACCAGGCTTAAGTGCCTGGCTCTACATTGCAAATAGGGGCAGAGTGGTCCCTGCCTTTCAGAAACAGGCTTAGGAGATAATGGGGACTACTAAGAAGAAAAATAGTAACTCTAGAATTTAAAACAACAAAAACCAGTCCTCTTGTACATAATTAAAATAGCACCTGCTCTCCAGGGCCCGAGACTGGCAGCAGGGGCCGCAGGCAGACAGGCCAGAAGTCTTCGAGAAACATCAGTGGTTTGGCTGAGACAGTCGGCTGCACATAATTGGCCAGTCACCAGCACCCAGCAAGACTCCATCAATGCTCAGGCAAGGCAGGAAAGCACCTGGCCCTTTGGGAATATACAAATATTTACCAGATTCTCTCTGCTTGTTACAGAAACAGTTAACGCTTACAGCATATTATTTACAAACAGTATCCTGGGATATGGTAAAGGCAGAGGTGGACTGGCTTGGGGGTGGGGTCTGTAGGATCAGAATGGCCACAGCAGCCCACAGGGTCCCACGTAGGGCCCTCACCCAGGCTCTGCAAAGCACTAAATTCTGCTACTGGAAAAGGCATTTAATTCTTCTTGTGGAGGAACTTCATCTTGTTGCCTGTAGGGACAAGCCAGAGAAGGCAAAGTAAGGATGTTTCATGACACCCCTTCCAACCTCTATGCCCTCTCCTTACAAAAAATTAATTTGACAGACTGGAGTGACAGCCCTGATAAGGTAGGAAAACACCACTTAGAACACTGAGATCAGCCACTGTGTGACTTTGGGCAACACAGTGTACTTTTAGCTTGTTTCATTTAAAAAAGACCTGCTATGGTCTTGAGATGACACTGGCTAAGCTCCCTGAAGGAGTGGGGCTTTGCCAGCTCTCTGGCATTAAGACTTCTGGACATTACAGCCTAGAACAAAGATGACTATCACAGCTCACATGTGAACACAAAAGCATGTACCAAAAAAAGAAATGACTTAAGATCAAATCTCTGGCTCCTTTTGTGGATCTTGTGCTAAGTGCTCTTAAAGTAGTAGCTGGGTGCCTCCTCTTCACAGGATCGCCTCTTGCTCTGTCTATTGTCTCTATCATATTTGCTGGCATAGATTCACAGTATCTTAGGGGATAGCTCTCCCTGGCTATCTCCTTCAATAGCAAGTAACTTACCTAAGCCACGGAGAAACTTGTTCATCCCGCTCTGCTCAGTGTCAGGGAGCTCTTCTAGATACTGCTCTACTCGCTGCTCAAAGAGGCCTGAGAAAGATGAACAGCAGGTTTGCGGCAGAGAACGATGGAGGCACGAATATATGATGGACCATGTAGTGCAGTGCAAAAGGAAACAAACATTTAGTTGGTGGGAGCATCAGGTCGATGACTATTAGTGACATATCTCACAGGTGTTCACTAACGAGAGCAAGAAGACTTCCATAGCCTGACACCCACTGCTGCCCATGCCTGAGATACACACTACAGGGAGAAGGCTGCTCTGTGCTTCAGAATGGCCCGTATGTGGAGACCGCTAACTTCTTCTAGATTGCTCCACCATGCTGTTCCAAAAATGCTTTGTTAGGCTAAATGGTTAATAGTAGTGGGGAAAAGAAAAAGGTTATGAAAGACCCCGGCCTCACCCTAAGTTAAACATAGCTAATGCCATTTTGTGAGACACCACTGTTTTGTAAAACTCTGAAGGCCAGATGAGAAACTGGAAAATTACTGAAAAATCCTAGCTGTGTCACCCACTTGGGATATCTGTGGTCAGGCTGCCCCAGTCATACTAAAAACAGTTTGTGTTAATCACTCTCATAGATATCTGTGAGACTGTTTCAGCTAAGATAGGGAAAAACAAAATAACAGGTGGCGGGCCACGTCAAGGGGTCATCCTACCCCCCTTGACCACCCAGTCCCTGGAATCTTGGTGCCCCTGCCAAACTTTGACGCAAATTGTGGTCTCGTGTAAACGTACCAATCAGCCCCCTATAACCATGCCTTCTCGCTTCTGTACCAGTGCTTCTGCCTCTAAAACCCTATAAAAACCCCAGCTTCCCATCTAGGGGGCGCGGAAGTCTCCCGAATGACTTTTCGCCCCGGGTACCCGAGTATCAAAATAAAAGCCTCTTGCTGTTTGCATCCGAATGGACTCGTTGTTCTTTGGGAGGGGGTCTCTCTGACGGAAGATACCCTCCGGGGATCTTTCAGTTAGATGCAAAGCTCTTGATGAGGTAAAGAGGACCCAATGGGAGCTGGCAGGATATTCAGAGGCAAGATAACCAACAGTCTTAGAGGGAACTCCAGCAACCCAAGGCAGCTGGCCAGTCCCTTGGGACTTCCCAACTGCTGGATCCTCGGAGCCCTCTAGACTGCTCAGTCTGGTGCTTTTTTAGGAATAAAAACAAGTGATGAAGGAATGGGAAACCAATACTAGCTGCTTTCAACTGGAGATGAGTTCTCACCTGGGTATCTCTCATGCTGTGTTTTGTTCATCTTTTTGCTGTTGCTTTGTTTGAAACAGGGAATTACTATGTAGATCTTGGCCTCCAACTCACAAAGATCCACCTGCCTCCACCTCCAGACTGGACTGCTGGGATTAAAAGTCTGTGCCAATGACTGCTTTCCTCCTTTTTTTTTTTTTTTTTAAATGCTGTAATGTAGCCCATACTAGTCCTAAACTCAATAAATAGCTGAGGAGACCTTGAACTCCTCCTCCACCTCCTAAGCACTAGGATTCCAGGCATGGCTACCACACCCAGCTGGGCATGTCTTATCAAGGTTTACAGAAAAGTACAGAGCTCCAGGCCAATTGTAGTACTGCTGCACATCTATAACCCCCAAACTTGGGGGCCTGAGACAGGAAGAATCCCTAGAGTTCAAGGCCAGCCAGGCTACATCCAGCCAGGTTAGATCCTTACTCAAAAACAAAATATAGCCAGGCATGGTGGCCCACTCCTTTAATCCCAGCAGAGTTCGACAGATCTCTGAGTTCTAGATCAGCCTGGTCTACAGAGTAAGTTCTAGGATGGTCAGGGATACACAGAGAAACCTTGTCTTGAAAAACCAAATACAAAACCTGAAAATAAAAAGAACTCCTTTACAAGTTCCTATCAGGAAAAGGGGGGGGGGGTAGTTAGAGCTTTAGTCCTTGATCCTCTGCAAGATCTAGTTATATTGAGCTCTGAAGAAGGCCCAAACCCCCATCCCAGTTCCTGTGGCCTTACCCTTTGCCCGACACTTTCTTAGCTCCCTGTCTTGGATGAAGCCAGCAAACATTTGAGACTCCATAAAAACCTCGAGAAAACGGCGGATGCTTTTGGAGGCCACAGACTTGCGGAAGGCCTCTCGCTGAAAAGCCCTTTCTCCCTTCTCACTGTGTGTCAGGAAGAGGGAGTAGTGCCCCACAGTCTCCACAAAGAACCGGATAAACACTTCTGACACCAGTCCATTGAGGGTATTACATTCTAGAAGGGAAAAGAAAAATCACTGACATTCAGCTCAAGATCCTGTAAGGCCATCTCCAATCTCCCACTGCTTTACTCTCTTCCCAACAAACTTCTAGCCAGCACACATACTGTCCTTGAAACCATCTGTTGCGCTCAAGCACTGTTACCTAGCCCATGAGCTCTTGGAAGTTGGATACTGCTCTAAGCATGGAAGTTGGCAAATAGTTCCTGGAAACGAGACCAATGCATCCCCCTCTTCTATATCCCTCACAAGTAAGGAAGTCCCTCCATCTCCTACAGTGGCTTGAAACAAGGCCTAAGAGGGAGGATGACTGCTTCACTTCGCATCAGCAGGAAGTTTGTGGTGCCATGTCTTTGGTCAGAAAAAGCACAAGGCCTAACTAGAGGGGTCTAGTTCCTACACCTAAGCTTCATCAGTCAGAAAGAGGCCAGTGCACAGTACAGGGCTCTTGGCCTGTGAAGTCCAGACTCAGAACAGAAGGATTCTGCCCTCACCATCATCAGAGTCACTGTCAGAATCCTGGGAGATCAGCTCGTTCTTCCTCTCCAGAGCCTGCTCCAGAGCAGCTTGTAACTTCCTAGGTAACAATGTGTCCTCATCATCCATCTGCAGAAGGAAAAGACAGCAGGGATGATTACAGCTGATACTGATGAGCATCATGTGCCAGGCCCTGGTCCAAAGCTCAGAGAGGTAACTTCACTTCTAACAGCATTGTCACTATTATCATCCTCATTTTATGATGGAGGGAACTGAAGCACAGAAAGTTTAGAAACGTGCCCAAGGTTACACAGATTAAAGAACAGCCAATTCACTGCACACTGTGGCCTTGACCAACTAGGAATTCCTACCCTGCTTTCCTTATTCTACTTTCACCCCAGGTGAGAAGTACAGTGAGCTTGGAGTAGGGAGACTGGTCTAGTCTGCCTCCTAGTTGCTGTTCCCAACTCCGTATTCTGGTGCAGCAGCTGTATCCTGGTGCCTTAAACTTGGGAGTCCTTAGCTCTGTCAGTGGTACGCAGTAGACTGTCTGTTCTCAAAGAGTATATGCTAGATTGTGCTCCTTTATGGGAAGCAAAAAAAAAAAAAAATTCCATGACTAATGAAGGCTTTTTGCAGCAGACAATGACTGTAAACCTTTATATTACAAAGCACATTTCGGTGGTGTTTATAATCCCCAGAATAGCTCTAGAGAGGTGTTATCTGATGAAAGCACTGGCTCAGGAAAATTTGGAAGCCCATTTTCTGTTTTTAGATCATGTGCTCAAACATAGAGACCCGATCTCAAAAGAAAACAAACAAACAAAAACAAAAACCCATGTTACCCAGTCCAGAATGAGTCTTGAAACTTTCAGACCCTATTATTTGCACACTGCTATCTAGAAAAACTGGGCATGGTGAAACACGCCTGTAATCCCAGCACCCAGGAGGAGACCTACCACCTATTCCAGACCAGCCAGAGCTGGATAGTGAGACCCTATATCCAAGGGAAAAAAAACAATGCCAGGCGACAAGGTACACACCTTTAATCCCAGCATTCGGGGAGATAGAGGTAAGTGGAGCTGTGTGAGTTCGAGTCAGCCTGGTCTGCAAAGCAAGCCCAGGACAGCCGAGAAACTCTGTCTCAAGAAAAGGAAGAGGGGTGGGGGTGGGGTGCTAGAGAGATGGCTCAGAGGGTAGGAGCACTTGCAAAGGTCCTGAATTCTGTTCCCAGCAACCACATGGTGGCTAACAACCATCTATAACGAGATCTGGTGCCCTCTTCTGGCATTCAGGCACACATGCAGGCAGAATACTATATAAATAATAAATAAATAAATCTTAAAAATAACAATAACAACAACAAAAACTAGTAAGGCAGATCCCACTGAGGATAAGGGTTGTTCCCAAATCAGCTTTTCTCCACCCCATCTATTCTGTGGGTTTGAAATCCAGAGCTTAGAATGCAAGCTGGTTGGTGACTAAGTGTCCAGTGACTGCTCTGGGGCATATCCAAGTTCTGTAGCATGCTGCTCTTACCTGTCGGATGAATCGGTCAGATCCCAGATTCACCATCAGTGCCTGAGAAAGAGTCAGAGGGGGTGGATCGGGGACTGAGTCTTGCAATGCCCTTTGATGGGTGTCCAGACCTCCCATGTTCCCAGGGACAGATGATTGTACAGAATCAGCCAGAGATAAACCTCCCAGGAAAAAGGACAGAAGCTGTTTGAAGACCAGAAGCCTGAGGTAAGTCAAAAGACTCCAACAGCATTTTTCTCTTCCTCCCTCAGCCCCCAGCTGGCTACCCAGGTGGCCTACCTCTTCAACTGGTAACTCCTTCAGTTTGGGAAGAGAGCTGGAGAGCAGGCCAACCAGGAAAGGGGTGGGACAGCAGACAATGTCAATCATGGAGGCTGGGAGGACAGGAATGAAGGTGTGCTGCCAGGAGAAGGGGTAGAGCAAGGCCACCACCGCGTGAGAGCAGCTGGACAGGGTACTGATGGACAGACAGAGAGACAGGGCACCTGAGCCCAGGCCTGCACCTAAGCCCAGGCCCAACAGCCTCTGAGAAAGATAGTTAGAAACTATAGGGGCTCAGGACATCTTTTGATGTTCTGCACTTTTAGGGACTCTACCAAGAAACAGCCATGAAAATATGTGAGCAGTGCACTTGAACATATAAAGGATTCTGTTTGCATATGTGTCTGTCTCTCACAGATACATGCATGCACATTCACCCTAGATGTATAGACAGGCCTGAGCTAGTGGGAATATAAGCTCAGGCTAAAAAGAACAAACGGTAAGTCAGTAGGAGCTTATCACAAAGCAACAGTGTGCAGGAGCTGGAAGGTCCTAGAGATGTCCCTCAATCTGTTTTGCCTTTCAAACTGTGATCTGTGGGACTCCCAGTTTGGTCATAAGTGGTAGAAATGATACAACTAGTTTTGTCATCTTGTAGCCCAGTACTGCTCTGGTTTTCTATTTTGTTCTCCTTAGCTGGTAACAAAGATATTTCTGAAGGAGAGTGCAAAAATCAGAAGGTGTGTGGTAGCCTACACCATTCTTAGGAATGGAGAGTTGTTCCCTTTCAGTTTTATTGGGGTCATCCCTTTCTTGTCCTGGAGGGGGCTCCAGGCCTCCAGACTTAAGAGCCCATAGAACTGGTTACAGGAGCCCAGTGATGAAAGGGAAACCAGGAAGACAATCACAGCAGTGCAAAGTTCACAGGCAAAACTGGGTGCACATACCCAGCTTGTGCTGAGGCCTGGTATAAGGTGCCAGTAAAAAAGGCAAACAGGGCATGAGCCGTTCTGGAACCACCACAGTTCTGGTCCACGTTCCACTGCAGAGCTACCCACCCTCCCCTCTTCAGGCAGGCAGACTCCCATAAAAAGGGCAGCTTTTCCTAATATCCAAGACTGGTAAAACATGAATGCCAGCCAGGCATGGTAGGTGTACACCTTTGATCCTAGCACTCAGGAGGCAGAGGAATATAAATCTCTGAGTTCAAGGCCAGCCTGGTCTACAGAGGGAATTCCAGGACAGCCAAGGCTACACAGACAAAGAGTGTCTAGAGAAAAACAAAACAAAAACAAAAACAACTTCCCCCCAGACCCATCAAAAATTAAATGCCAATCAGGCCCAAACATATGCCCTTGGGGTATTCTCCTCTGGAATGTGCTTAGAGGCAGCTGTAACGACAGGAGACAATAGCTGTATTCAATAGTCCTACAAGAGCTGGACTGTGGTGTGGGTTGAAAAAGAAGCTCAGCCTGGAGTAGGAGGGTATGCATGTGGGTGTCTGTGTGTGACTCCTTCCAGAATAGAAAACTCAGGGTGCAGGCACTGTCAGGGGCCACTCCGATCTGGATAGGCCACGCCAGACAGAATACCATAGCTACCACTCCTGGCTAATCTTAGCTGCCAAACTGGGTCCCTTTACAAAAGCAAGATAGGCCTTGAAATAGCTAGGTAGGGCAGTGTTTCTCAATCTTCCTGATGCTGTGACCCTTCATATTGTTCCTGTTGTTCTTCATGTTGTGGTTTCTCCCAACCATAAAAGTATTTTATTGCTACTTCATAACTGTAATTTTGCTACTGTTATAAATCATAATGTTAATATCTATGCTTTCCTAAAATCTTAGGTGACCCCTGCAAAAGGGTTTAAATTCCCAAAGGGGTTACAACCCACAGGTTGAAAACTGTTGACCTAGACTGTGGCACACAGAGTTCCACAGCTGGGAAAGGAATATGAAAGTTTCATTTCTAAACTCTCACCATCTCTGGGAAAGTGGGCAGTTCAGCTAGGGGTGGTGATACCCACCTAAACAACAACACCCAGGAATGAAGCAGAAGGACTGTAAGTTCAATGCCAGCCAGGGCTACACAGTGAGATCCTGTCTCCAAAGAGCAACCATCAAAGAAATGCAGTCATTCTAATTTTTCCTTCTCCTTTCTCTGAGCTGAGCACTGGCCTGAGTTCCTGCCCCATTGCTTGAAAGAGCAATTAGGAGAGTTCCTCTTCTCCACTACCTCTTCATGTATACAGAAGAAAATACACCAGAGATTTGGTATTCACTAGAGGACAAGCCAGCAAGAGCTTTTACTGCACCTGACACAAGGCACAGCACTCAGCATGCAGCTTAATGGCTAAGTGATAGAATAAATACCATGTTAGAGAAACCACTGCTTTGGCTGTTTGGTAGTGTCTTTGACAATAAATGACAAGGTATCACCAGCATTCAATTCTCTCTCTGCACCCACTCCTACATATTCTTAAAAAAACCGCCTCAGCTGTTGAGAACTCACTTTTCTCTTCCTAGATGTCTCAGGTCCAGTGATCACTTCTACCATTCCCTATGGTCACAATCTCTACCCCTAAAACTCAAAGTGCCTATCTGTTGGACCAAGTCTTATGGTCCACCCAGCTTTTTCTTAGCCTTCCTAAACTAACTGTCCCAGCTCCCCACACACCCAGTCTCTGGACTTCCTCTCTCTCTTGGTCTAAGTAGACTGTAACCTCTCTCCTACTCAGACTCTCAAGGCCCCATCTCCACAGCTCCCTGGAAGCAGCCTTGGATTATTTCTGTCCACTTCTCCAAGGTTCCTTCAGCCAATCCCTTCAGAATGGCTTAGCTGCCCTCACATAGCAGCCATTCCTGGAGTCCATCACTCCTGAAACTTAGCATCCTGCCCAGGCAGCTGGGCTAGAGTTGCTTGCACTTACTGTCTTCATACATTTGTACATACATGGCTATTGTACAGGAAGTGCCCCTCTTCTTCCTCAGGCCAAGTCCTCAACTGGATTCTCAATCCTACTATACAATCCTCTCTCCACAGGTCTGCTAATCCTTCTTTATATGATCTTTACCTCAACACATGCACATGGATAAGCAGGTACTCTAATACCACAATGTGTGGGATACACCAAGACTTGTAAAAACTTGCTGAATTCATTAATGGGTATGCCACCCCTCTCCCTCTCCTTTCTTGCCCTCTGGGTCCTACCTGAGCTTATCTGCTACAAAAATGACTCTTCGCTCCAACAACAATGAGGCAAAGATTCGGATCAACTGGCGCACACTGAGGCAGGTGAAAAGGCATTCGAAGTCCACATGCTCCAGGCGAGAGTCCATGGGCCGACGCAGCTCTAACACCTGTAGGGAAGTGAAGGCAGTGGCAGAAGTGGGCTCTCACACAGGACCTGCTGGCTGCTTTCCTTCCAGCCCTCTCCTTCCAACACTCTCCAGTCCTCTCATGATGCAGGAGACCCATTCTCCTCTTCCCTTGAACTCTAGCTCTGCTCCCACAGTAAACACCCAGCCTATGGGCAGGCGTGCTGAGGGACCAGATGTAGCCTCTGAGGAAAGCAGGGAGGCTAACTGTTCCCATGGATAAGGAGAACCAGGGAGTCACACAGCCCCATCTGTATGAGTCTCCTGCCTTCTTTCCCATCTCATTTAGCACACTGACCAGACCCCACAACTGACCACTGCTTTCTAGGCTATAGGAAGAATGCAGTCCTGTACTTAGGGACTCTGGCCTCAGCCATCTCTGGGGAGGCAATGCTGTTGTCCTTGTTGCCATGTCCCCTCCCTTTCCTGCTATAAAGAATTTCTTTCCAAAGACTATCCTGCCATCCTGTCCCTTATCTCTACTACCCTAAGCCCTGTGCCAAGGATTAGGAAAGATCTGGCTATCTAAAAATCTTACAAAGATACTGGATTGTCTTTATGAATACAGGCCTAGCTGTACTTCCCTCTAAAGATTACTCCAAGGTATAAATGACATCTCTCAAAACCCTTTCTCTGGAGGTACTGGTGGTGGGAGGTTGCGAGTGACCCCAGCAGTGACAGGAGGAGGAGTGCTGACTCTTAGCATCTGTAGGGCATCAATGATACAAAGGCATCCTGAGAACTGGGATAAGAGGTAAACTATCCCTTATGGCCTTGTGGTGTCATAGCTAATCCTCCTCCAAGGGGCTTGCCTCCAGGTGTCTCAACTGTTCTTGCTTCAGATCTGTTCTAGCCACCTAAAGGGCCTCATTTCTTATCTCTCTGACTTGGGTTCCTTCCAGTCCCCTAAACACTGTTGCTTTTGCAAGTGAAGGAATTCTTAGCTCAGTGTTCACCACTTGGGTTCTGGAAAACATCAACAGAGATGCAGAGGAGCTGCAAGAGTTGTATGCACCGGCTTTGTTGACAGGTGGTGAACCCCAGGAAGACCCAGTAGCCAACACAATGAAGGGGACACTCTACGTCATCAGTGGGCGTGGGCTGAAGGCATGCCCCAGCACAATTATGTCAAAGCCTTTTTATCTTGCCTGATATCTGTCCCCACCCTAATAGAAGACATAACAAAACTCTGTAGCCTTGCCTCCTGACAGCCCTGCAAATGGCCCCAATAAATGCTGCTCTCCAGCTTCCAGCCCCAAATCCCATGCTGCCCCTGTTCCTAGGAGCTGGGAATCAGACAACAGCCTAGTAGTACAGCCCAAGGCTGGCAAAAGGAAAGAAGGGCAGAGTAAAGATCTGCAAAGAGGGCTGGAGGGCATCGAGTAGGAGAGGCTGGCACCTGCTGACTTCCAGGGTAGAAAGAGTTTGAGGTGTCTTATGCATGAGTGACTTGGATTCTATAAGAAGAAGGAAATGCCTTTCAGGCAAAAACAGGACTCAGGTAAATGGAAGTAGCCCTGGTGAGAGAAGCAGCCAGGCCTAGGAAGTGCTCAGAGCGGAACTGAAGAACTCCAGGGCAAGTCATTGGCCTGTCAAGGCAGGGTCAACTGTCCTGCCCCAGACAACTCATCAAACTCAGTCTCTCTTATCCTAGGATATGTAGAGACTCTCAGGAAATGTCAACAGGTATGTGCCACTGCCTGCACACCTCTGTGTTTCTTAGGTCAGTCCTCACACTCTGCAGCAGCTGTTTTCATCTTCCTACCTCTGACTCTGAGATGTTCCCTTCTTTTCTAGTCTGAAGAAACTAGAGCCATCTCATGAGAATCCAAGTCTACAAGCCGTCATCTTCCCCTTCCTCTCCTAACAGAAGACAGCTTCCATGAAGACCACTATCTGCATGTTCTAGTGACAGCTGGTTGTCCTTCCTCCTGCATTATTAATGTTCTGGCCCTGGTTGTCCCGGAACTCACTCTGAAGACCAGGCTGGCCTGGAACTCAGAGATCCACCTGCCTCTGAGATTAAAGGCATGCACCACCCCGCCCAACTAAAACCCTAAATTCTTAATCTGATCATGTAGGCACAAACCCTGAGATTGGGTCCTTGACTTCCCACCCAGGCTGTTCACCACCCTTCCAGTCATTTTGACCTTGTTTCTTGGTGGAAGGCCTTCTCTGGCCTCGTAACTCAAAGCTCAATATACTCAAAAACTCAAAACTCAATATACAACCCCCTGTTGTATATTCTAACAGGATCCTGTTCTTTCTTTTCACACATACTTAGAAATTAATTATTTATAAATATAAGTATTCAACAACAGGTCTCCTTCTAGGTAAAAAAAAAAAAAA